TATTGCATGAGTTCCTTGTTTTTCAATGCAGCATAGTATTCCATTGTGCGAATATACCACATACCACAGCTTCCCTACCCATTCGTTTGCTGATGGGCATTTAGGTTGTTTCCAACTCCTTGCTATTGTAAACAAAGCCGTGATAAAAATGGGTATGCATATATCTACTTGGATGTTATTTATGGTCTCTTTAGGGTATATTCCCAGTAGTGGAATTGCTGGGTCAAATGGTATCTTTACTTGCAACTTTTTGAGAATGATTATTGAAATATTCATTACAAATACCATTTATAAAAAAAATAACTTGTGACTATACACATAGACTTCACCTTACGGCCTACACAGGAATCACATTGATTAATACGTGGAAAGAATAATTTGAAAAGTTAAACTAAATCAAATGTTCATTGTAAAACAAATCATCAGCTACTTATGGGAAAGTTCAAATTGAAGCTAAATGAAATTAAAAAAAAATCCACAAAAACTTAGATACAACCTTGAGACTATCCCCCTTGAATTTAAAAACCAACATAAAAACAATTTTTAGACCTGTGAACACTAATGAACAAAGACCAAATAAGCTGTGTGATGATTTAAGAATTTCATCCTTGAAGAAGTAAAAAGTCATTAGAAAGACAGAGGAGGAAGAAATAACTGAGATGGAAGTCAGCAGAGACTATGATCATTGCACTAGACTGGTGAGAAAACAAAATAAAATTAAGAAATCAGGAAATTATAGAGTTGAAAAAAAATTTCAAAAGGTGAGCCAGGAAGACAAAGGAAAGAATTATAACACAAATTTATAACAAAAGTCCAGCAAAGAGCTGAAGTCAGAAAATCAAAAGAATAATTCAAATTGCATTTCTCAAGTAGAAATAACAATAGAACATATTCAAACTTCTAGTTACAACACCAGAAGGTACTAAGGGAAGAATATTGGATTATCTAGGAAGTATTAAAAGAAAGCGGAAGCGATACACAGTCACTGTACCAAAAGAATTGGCTGACACGGAACCATTTCAGGAAGTAGCATATGATCAAGATAAATTAATAGTAAAGGAGGAAGTTTAAGCTTCTCTAAAGGAATCAGAAAAAAAAATGTCTCCAGGATACAGCCCTAGATACGTTCACCAAGTTTTCCCAAGAAATCTAGACCACAGCTCTCTGGGTAATTGACTAGAAAAAAGATCCATATTTATTCCCATTACTTAATAAAGTGATCCAGCAGAGTGGGGAAATTATCAAACAACATAACTTATATCACATGCAAACAGAATCCTGCTGAAAATGAAACAAAAATGGTTTGGTTTGAGTAGTACATCAACTGAAAATTGCCAGAAATACAAGCAGGATTTAGAAGAGCCCATGGCACTATGGATGTCATTGACAATGTCAGATGGAACTTGACTGAAAACAAAGAGTAACAGAAGATATCTATCACGATGTCGCTTATTGGTGTAGTGGCTAGGATTTTTTTTTTCTTGATATTGAGATACATTCCACAGAGAAGGCTTCAGTCTTTGATCTGCAACAACACTTCAAGCCCTCTTCACTTTCAGCAAGCAAAGTTGTATCATCTTCATAATGAAGCTTACTGGTAAATCTTCCAATCCTGATACCACCTTCTTCTTCACAGAGTCCAACTTCTTGAGTAATTTTATCAGAATACATATTGAATAGGTATGGGAAAAGTATACAATCACGACACACATCTTTCCTAATTTTAAATAATACAGTGCTAAAAAAAATAATAATACAGTGCTCCCTTTCTCTTTTTACACAATAGCCTCTTGGTTTAGGAACAAGTCTTGCACTAGCATAATTACATGTTCTGAAATACCCATTCTTCTCAATGTTAGCTATAATGTGTTATATACAGTCAAAAGCCTTTGCATAGTCAATAAAGCACAAATAAATATCCTTGTGGTATTCTTTGTTTTCAGCCCAGATCCGTATCACATTAGCATAGATGTCCTTGGTGCAATGGATTCTTTCAAATCCAGCTTGAGTATCTGTCCATTCTTTCTATATGTACTGTTCTGGCCACAAAAGTAGGTGGTTTAAATCACCAGCTGCTCCACAGAAAAAACATGGACAATCTCATGTGTGATATACAGTCTCTTAAAACCCACTGGATGGTCACATACAAGGCAGTTATGACATAATAGCATAAAATAATATATGGATGAGAAGAAAAAGAAAATGAAGAATGAAATGTACAAAATATGATTTCTTTTTTATTAGTTGTTGTTGTGTACTTTTGAGTTGGGACCCAATCCATAGCTGACCCTATAGTGGGATTTCAGGGACCATCAATCATACAGGAGGAGATTAAGCATCCTTCTCTTGTGGAGTTCCTGTTGGATTTAAACCTCAATTCCTTTGGGAGCACAGTGAAGTTTCTTATCACTAGGCCATCAGAACTTCCAGAGCTCACAAGATCTTCTTTGTTTCTATATTTGTAGGCCATGAATTTGTTTATACACAAGCATTTGGTTTCTGATTTGTTATGTATTTTTCTTTATTGATCAATAAGAAGAAAGGACATCAACTTTAATCTGCATAAACTGCCTTCTTTTCTCATTCTCTAAATCACTTTGTATCCCTTTTCACTATTACTACTTTCTAGCTTTCAAGTTGCCTTTGGAGATAAAGGAGGTTGAAAATAATTTAGGTGAATCTGTGATTGCCAAATTGAAATGACATCATAAAAAATACAGCCCTAAAAATGACTAAAATCAATGGTGAAGCCTAAAATAATGTTCTTAAATAATGGAGAAGCCCTGCACATTCAGAGTTGGGTCCAGTGCTTTTTCTCATTGAATACAATTATCTCAAAATAATTTATAATTAATATCATTAAGCATCATGCTTATGTGAAAGAAATTGTTTTACAATTGTTATATCAGAGCAATAAAATAGTAAAAAAACCCCACCACTTAGTAACACGATCCTTACCAGTTATTTCTGTTTCAAACAGTATTTAAAGTTAAAATTATTTCAATATTTTACCTTTATACATCTGTAAATCTTCATATCAATATTAATTTTCTCTAAAGATTAGCAAATAGGAACATAGAAACAAGGGATAAGTGATTGAAGTTAAAAAAAATGAAATTTCTCCCTGGTATTTTGTCAGTTTAGCATTCAGTAATCCTTGGGGAAAACTTGACTTCAGAATTCAACTTAATAGAAAAGCCCCTATGAAGCCTGTCATGGGAATAACTATTACAGAATTTGACATAAGTGTAGACAAGCAGGATCATTGCAGCAGAAAATCCGAAACAAATGAGCAGGCTTTTTTTTGTTTGTTTGTTTATCAAAATATTTTATTTACGAGACCTCTCAGAAAAAGACACCCAGGTGAGCCAGACACCCCCGTGGCGCCCCAGCCAGCTTCCTTTTTGGTCTTTTCCGTGTCCTCTGCTTCAAATCAACTAAAACAACTTGATGCTTAAAAAGAGAGAGGAGGAGCTGCTTTCCAATCAGACTTGAGTGGAGAATGTATATTTTCTTCTGATCCTGGGTGGGCGAGAAGGGAGAGGTGAGTGGGCCCCGAGGCTCCACAGGTGGGTACCGTGGCGTGGCCATGGTCAGAGGACGTGGCGGCGCGGCGTCCGGGATTCATCTTCTACAGGCCCTGGTGCTGCTGCTGCCTGTGAGCTGCTTGAGCCAGGTGGCGTCTGGCCTCACGGACCATCTGCCCTTCTGTCCACTGTAGGTCTCTGCTCCTGGTCAGTCTTGGCGGGGGGGCAGCTGGGACTCAGCGTCTTCATCAGTTTTGCGGCTTCCTTTCCAGCTGAGAAACTTTTTTCAATCTTTTTATTATTTTTAAAAAGAAGTGCAGCCGAAGACAGACCTTAAACCACAGAATCCAAAGGCTGCACTCCCCTGCTCCAGAGCCCGTCCTCTGGCTACTCCTAGCCTGCGATCTTGGCTCGCTTGAGGGCGATGGCATCCTCTATGGCCTTGAGTTGCTGCAGCAGTTCCTCGCGCCGAGACAGCGTGCTGGCCTTGGCCGCCTTGAGGCCGGGCGCGCCCGCCTTACCAGGCACGCAGGTCACCTTGCTGGAGCCCTTGGCCTGTGGTGGCCACAGCTGGCGCTTCCTGTCAGGCTGTGTTGAGGGAGCTTTTGGGTTCTGTCCTCTCTGCCTCTCAGGCTGCGGGGAGCCAAGCCTGCCCCCCGATTTCTGGTAGCGGGAAGCTCGGTCCGGGGACAGGGTGGCTCGCTTGGCTGGAGGGGGGCTGGGCCGGTCCTTGTCTGAGGGCTCGCAGCGCTTCCTGACTGCTTTATCCGAGGCGTTGTCGAGCAGTGTCAGCTTGATCTTCTTTGGGGCAATGAACGTGGCCGGAGCAGGCTGGCCTGGGCGCGCCTGCTGCGGGGTGGAGGTCTGCTGTGAGGACTGGCTGCCTGCCTTGGTGCATTGTGCAGACCAGTCCCTTTTCCGCTTCTTTTTAATGACATCTTTTCCTGCTTTTTCCTTCCTGCTCTGGGCAGGGGTGGGGGACCCTGAGCTGGCTGAGGACACAGGGCTTGGCAAGTCAGCATACATGTCTTCCGAGTCCACGCTGCGCACTGAGCTTCTGCTGGACGTGGCACTGGACACGGAGGAGACACTGCTCACGCTGCGGGACCTGGATCTGGAACTTGAGCCCCTGTAGCTGCTGTAGCTGCTGCGGCTACCACTGCTGCTGCTGCTGCGCGTCCGCCTCCTCAGGGGCGTCCTCGCTTGCCGCTGCTTCCTCCGAGCTTTCCGAGGGTCCCTGCGCTTGGGGGGCTCAAGGATGTGGGCAGTGGTTTTGGTGGCCTGAGGCAGGGCAGGTGGTGGTTTGCGCTTCTTCAGCAGCTTCCTCCGCACTTTCCCCGGCTGCGGGGCTGCCTTCCCCTTGGCTCTGATGGTGGGCCTGTGGGGGGATGGAGATGGCGAGGAGGAGGAGGAGCTGGACCTGGAGCGGCTGCCTGAGAAGGAGCTGTGTCTGGAAGACCGTCTGGAGTAGGAGCTGTAAGACGAAGACTTGGAATGGGACCTTGACGAGCTGGAGCTGGAGCTGGAGTAGGAGTAGGATGACCGCGAGGAGGACCTGGAGGAGCTGGAGGCAGAGGCTGAGGAGACCGATGTTTTTCGATGCCTTCGTGCACGGCTGGGGGAGACCGACACCCCAAGTTTCTTCTTGGGAGACCTGGATCTGCACCAAGGGTCTTTCCACTCATCTGCCTGCTTCACCTGAGGACCTGCAGATGCAGTCTCCTTCTTCGGGGAGCGGGGTTTGACCTTCTCCTTGTCTCGCTCCCAATGCTCCCGCTCCTTCTTCTGCCGCTGCCGCTCCTTGTCCCGGTCCTGCTCCCGCTGCCAGCGCTCCAGTTTCCGCTCTTGGTCTCGGTCCCGGTAGTTGGAGTACGGATCTGTCTCTGTGGACTGCACCCTTAAGTTCTCGTACTGGCCGCCACGCTGGAACCGCTCGATTTCATAATCACAGTACGGGTCTGTGTAAGGCTCAAGTGCTGTATCTCGGACGTCCCTGGTGATCCGGTAGTTCCAGTCTTGGAACACCTCGTTTTCCTTGTCGAACTCGCGCTCGTCCTCGCCGATGGTCACAGTGAGCCTCTTCTCTTCCAAGTCAGGCTCCTGCTCCTTCCGGATATCGGCTTTTTTAGAAACCTCCTTGGCGTGCCAGAGTCCTCGCTCCCATGCAATCTGTGTCGCGGGCGCGGGAGGTGGTGGAGGCAGAATCTCATCAACTACTGGGCACCCCCAGGGATCGGCGGGCATCAGCGGCGGCGGACCTAGCGGTGGGGAGCCGTTGGGCGGGAAGGGCTCGGCTTTGGTGATGAGGGAGTAGTTGCCCTTGTCGTTGATGCCAGGGTGGATGAACATGCAGTTCATGCCCCAGGTGCAGTTTCCTTTCATGAAGAAGCGGCAGGTGGGACGAGGCCTCACCTTCTTGTCACTGGGGTCCTTAACCTCACCTTCTTCAAGGTCATCATCTTCAATCTCCCCGTCTTCGATCTCCCCATCATCGTCCTCTTTCTTCTCCTTCACAGCGTCTGGGGAGGGGTCCTCCTCCTCCCGGGCCCCTTCCCCCTTCTCCTCGCTCCCCTCGGCCCCTGCTCGCTCAGCTCCGTCCTCCTGGGCGGCAGGCATCGGTTCGTCAGGGCTCTCGGCCACATCCATCGCTACTGTTTGGGAGTGTTGTGCCCCAAATCCAGTTCCCCCCAAGTCACCAAGGAGCCAACACTGATGCAAGGGCATGAGGAAATTTCAGATTCGAATCCGGGCTGCGCTCCAACCCGTGCCAATACTGCAGGGAAAATGGCCAATGCTGGGCTGTCCCACCTATTTAAAAGGGAAAGCCCCGCGAAAACAGGGTGATACAGGATTGGCTGATTCAAAGGAAGTGCGTGAAAACAGGGAGGGACAGGATTATCTATGTTTGTTGATTATCAATTAAGTAACTAGATAAAGCTGATGGGATTCATAGGCTTCAAGCAAAATTCAATCTAGAATAGTAGGAGATTAAACTGTATCCATGCATGGTAAATTATTTAAATTACATGTAAGAAGAATTATTAGACTACTGAAATCATTGCTTCAGTTTACAGAAGTAATTATTTTGTGATAAAAGCAATAATGAAATGTAAATGTAATCAATCATTTTAAATATTCAAAAGGCATGAAGTTCTATCTCTGAATATGTAGTATGGGGGGGAAATCCCAATGATATTAGTGTTTATAATAATTTAAGTAGTGTTAAGCATAGAGAACACATTATCTAATTTAAAAGCCCCACATACAACAGAATTAAATACTACCCCTTCTTGTGTCATAATTATTGCTATGTGTAAATTTATTTTTATAAAATGAGTATAAATTCATCTCATTTAAAATTTTCCATATTTCTGCTTAATGTTTATAAGAAAGCTATACCTAAAAGAAAAAAATAAAGAAAAAATAAAGTTGTCCTTTATAGAAACTGGTCCTTACTGATAACACATTCAAAATATCTGAGCTAAAGTCTGACTCACTTCCAAAGAACATTCTGCCAATACTTCCTCAAAGAAAGACTTTTTTATTCTTCTGGCAGTACATGTTCTAATCAACTTACTTTTCCAACACCATCATTCAAATGCATTGATTATTATTCAGTCTTCCATATTCATTGTATAACTTTCAAATACATGTGAGATGATTGAGAATCTAGTTTCAATTATTTTCTCATCTCTTTCACAGTCCTCATCATTTCTGATATACTTGAGCCCATAGTTGCAGTCATCGTGTCAGTCTACCTCATTGGGGTCTTCCTCTTTCACTGACCCTCATCTTTCCAAGTATGATATCATTTTCCAAGTAATACCCTCTCATAGCAATATATCCAAAGTATGAAAGATTCCAAAGAGCACTCTGGCTGTACCTTTTCCAAAACATCTATGTTTTTTATTCTTTTGGTAGTACATGGGATATTCAGGACTTTTTCCACACCATTATGGAAAGCTTTAAATTATTCTTCTGTCATTCTTTTTATTGTCCGTCTAATTTTCAGAAGCATATAAAGTAATTGAAAAGACCATGGCCTGGATTGTTGATGTTGTTATGTGCCGTCGAGTCGCTTGCAACTCATAGCGACCCTATGTACAACAGCCCTAAACTCTGCTCTGTCGTGTGCCAATCATACTATCGCTGACACTCCCATCCCTATTATCCCAGTCACTGAATCAATCCACCTCATAGAGGGCCTTACCCACCTGCACTGTGCCTTCACCCTCCCAAGCATGATGTCCTTCTCCAAGGACTGGTCTCTCCTCACAACATGTCCAAAGTATGTTAGACAGAGTCTCAGAATCCTTGCCTCCAGCGAGCCACCCGCTTTAACCCTTTCCAGGACAAATCTGTTTGTTTTCCTAGCAGTCCATGGTATTCTCAATACTCTTCTCCAGCACCACAGCTCGAAGGCATCAATTCTCCTTGGTCATTGTCCAACTCTCTGATGCATAACAAGTGATTGCAAAGACCATGGCCTGTATCAGATGCACCTTAGTCTCCAGAGAGACACCATTGCTCTTCAGTACTTTGGATAGGTCCCTAACAGCAGACTTTCCCATGGTAATGCACCTTTTATTTTCCTGGCTGCTGGTGCCATTTACAATAGCTGAACATAAATTGGGATGCTTGTGAGTAAAACTAACTAGAGATATAAAAGCCCTATATAAAGAAAACTACAGAGTATTTCTGCAAGACACAATAAAAGAACTAATGAAAAAGAAAAATGAGTCCTGTTCATAAATAGGAAGACTCAATATCATGAAAATGACAATCCTACCAAAAGCAATATATATGTTCAACACAGCTAGGTTTCTGTCTCCAAGTCTATGTTTTCCAACTACAGATCCTTTTTCTTTGTTTTCATTTTTTACATTCCAGTCACCCATTATTGTTAATGCATCTTGGTTGCATGCTCAATCGATCTCTAACTGAAAATGTTAGTATGAATCTACTATTTCCTCTTCTTTGTCTCTTCTCTTGTTGTTACTGTGTAAATTTGAAATATAGTGTTATTAACACATCTTCCTTTATTCAGGACATGTTTTCTTTTTTCTGAACACTTGCTATGCATCTGACAGATGGACAATAAACAAGGATTTGTATTTGGAAAAGCTGTTGTCATGAATACCTTTAAAGTCTTAAGAAAAGAATTTTCTAAGGGGTAACCAGAGCCAAAGAAGAAGAAATAGATGATTTCTACCAACTTTTAGAGTCGGAGGTAAATAGAACATGCAATCAAGAAGCATTGATAATAATGGGGGACTGGAATGCAAAAGTTGGGAATAGTGAAGAAGAATCAGTGGTCGGAAAACATGGGCTTGGTGAAAGGAATGAGGCTGGAGATAGAATGATGGAATTTTGTAAAGTCAATGAATTATTCATGGCAAATACATTTTATAAGAGACACAAACGCAGGTTATAAACATGGACTTCACCTGATGGTATGCATAGGAATCAGATCGACTACATCTGTGGAAGGAACCACTGGAGAAGCTCAATATCAGCTGTGAAAAATAGGCCGGGGGCTGATTGTGGAACAGACCACCAATTACTCATATGCAA